GGGCGATCTTATACAAATAACTAATGTAGGGAAATACTTACCTGTGAACAGAAGGACCTGCAGAGTCTGGAAGCCTAGATGAGGCTCGGGAAAGCCTTAGGAAGAGACTCTAAACCAATGTTTCCAAAAATGGACAACGGATCAAAGTGAAATGATTTTTTTTCAAGGTCACAGAAAGGGTTTCTGGTGGAAGGAAGAGAATTACTCAAACTTCCTAATTGCTACTCAGCCCTTCTCCCACCTCTCACGCCCACCTCCACCCCTCCCCAAGTCAGATTACTTCAGGATCACTGATTGCTTCTTCCTATCTGGATACAGCCTGACTGGACTGATGGCAGTTCAGACTATGACCAAGCCTGTTGATCAAATTCCACCGGGAACACGCCTGTAGTCAAAAGGAACTGGGTTTATTCACTGTATTTCACATAACGCAGACACTCTGAGGTGCCTTGGCGAGATACTGGGAGGAGCCTATTTTTGGATTTGGGTTTGTGCCGGACAGCTCTAGATAGTCTGAGGAAGTAGCGACCATTTTGGATCGGACACGGTCAAGAAGTGGGACAGTTCTGTGAGCAGGCATCTGAATTGTTCCCAGCAGGTGGAGGATTGAAGCAGGACTGGATTTGTCACTGGAAAAGAAGGTGGCCCCACTCAGGCTAGTCAGAAGAGGAGGAAGCTGAGGCCTATTTGTGGTGCCAGGGTAGCTGTGTTTCTGATTCCAACTACAGAGCTGGCTGGTACTTATTTCCATTCGGTGAACATTGTTTACATTCAGAACGGGGGTCTAGCAGCCAGCTGCACAGGTTTTCATTTGCTCACCTGCAAACATTTCATCCCTGAATACAACATCCCACCCACCTCTTGGTGTTTCTAACTCTAAAAGATTAAATGTGTCTCCCCTTGCAGTCGCCTGCTTTTTGTTACTTTAAATAAAATAACAGAGAGAAGCTTTTTGGGAAAGAAAAGGTTTATTTCAGCTTAAAGCTTAGAGAAAACAGTTCAGGATTGGGCAGCCCAAGGTCTAGCATCTGTGGAGGCGGGTCACAGCAGGTGCAGAGGCACGGCCACATGTGAGTGGAGAAGCAGAGAGAGAAAACCTGGGTCACACTTGAACTCAAAATTATACCCAACCTTCTTTGGAGAACCACCCTCCAAGGGCATACCCCCAGTGACCCAAACACGTCCCACTAGAACCATGTCCCAGACACCATAATTAGGTCACGTCTCCACCCTTGATCCACTAACCATTAAGACATCAGAGTTTAAACATGTTGTATGAGTTTTGGTGACACAAGTCCTGTTATGCCCATAACACCTCTCATTGGCAAAGTGGAGAAGAGCAGATCCTGCGATCGTCCACTGCCACTTCCCACTCGTGCAGGGACCCCTCACAACAGTTCTTCCAAGAAAGGGAACATACTGCCCCCCAAGGCAGCTCCTCATCACGTGCGCATGTTCTTACTCAAAACTTCTCCTCATATAGTATTTTTTTTTAATTTTTAAAGTAATGAAGTTTCCTTTTTTATGATTTATTTATTTATTTGAAAGTTAGAGTTACACAGAGAGAAGGAGGGGCAGAGAGAGAGAGAGAGAGAGAGAGGTCTTCCACCCATGGTTCACTCCCCAGATGGCCGCAACAGCTGGAGCTGTGTCAATCTGAAGCCAGGAGCCAGGAGCTTCTTCCAGGTCTCCCACGCGGGCACAGGTGTCGCTCCCCCTCTTCGTGGAGGAACGACACTAAACCCTGCCCAGGCTTCATATCCGAGTCACGGCACCATTATGTCGCTCCCCCTCTTCACGGAGGAACGACACAAGACCCTGCGTTGTTCTTTCATCTGCTCGGCCCTCCCCGGGTTTGCTGCTGGTTCTTCCCGGGTTGGCTACCGTCCCTTCCACCTCCGTGGAAGGGCGGTTCCCCCTGCCACATTCCCCACTTCCGCGGGGGAGCGGCACACCGCCGGCCGGCTCTCTCGGGGGCTGCTCAGGTGTTCCCCTTAGATGTTCCTGGTGCACGCCGTCTCTCTCCTCCTTTATAGTCCTCCTCCGCCAATCCTAACTCGGCTGCCCACACGCCGAGTACGCTGCTCTCCTCCAATCAGGAGCAGGTCCTACAGTTTATTGGTTGAACTGGAGGCAACTGTGTAGAAGCTGTTTTCTCCTCTCCCAGCGCCATATTGTGGGAGAGCAGATGCATAGAATAAGTCTTAATTCCAGTAACTTAGTCTAGTCCAGGTTGCTCCCCACACACAGGGGCCCAAGGACTTGGGCCATCTTCTACTGCTTTCCCAGGCCATAGCAGAGAGCTGGATTGGAAGTGGAGCTACCGGGTCTCGAATCAGCACCCATAAGGGATGCCAGTGCTTCAGGCCAGGGTGTTAACCCACTGAGCCACAGTGCTGGCCCCTCATATAGTATTGAAAAGGTAATACATGAACTTTGTTTAAACAAAACCGTGAACATATAGTAATTTGATCAATGCATATTGTATTCAGGTGTCAAAAAATCACAACATACCTTCTGTTATGTACAATTATCACATTGATCTAAAAAAAAATAGGGAGTCAGTGAATAACATCACAGTACCTGGATTCAGTTCTTGGCTCTGGCTCCAGACTCCAGCTAATGCAAACCTTGGGAGGCAGCAGTGAAGGCTCCAGGAATCGGATTCCAATCACCCACATGGGAGACCTGGACTGAGCTCCTCCCAGCTGCCTTTGGTCCTGGCACAGCCCCAGCTGCTGTAAGTATTTAGGGAGTGATCCAGCAGATGAGAACGCGCTCTCTCTTCCTCTCACATAAATAAACACTTTTTAAAAATTAAAAACAGCATACAGTGAAGATGAAGAAGTGTTCTTCTCGTCCCCCCCCATCCGTCTCCCAGACGACCTTGCAGAGTGTGTTTGTGCATATGCCAGCATTGTGTGTCTTCTCTATCACTTCTTTTAAACGTGATGGCATCCCAACCACATGGTGTTGCACATTGCTTTTGTATTCAGTTATTCATTCATGCAATAAATATTTACCAAGCTCTATGTGCCAGGCACTGTTGTGAATGATGAGAAAACAGCAGGGAACAAAACAAAGTGCCTGCCCTGGAGGAGCTTATGCTGCAGTGCAAAGAGACAAGCCATCAACGAGTGCAGAGCTGCCAGACACGGACACCAGCTGGGGGAGGAGTAAACAGTTTAGAGTAGGCAGGGCAGGTCTTCTGGATCGCAGGACATTGGACTAGAGAACAAAGAAGTGAGGGTGCAGGACAAAAAGTTATCTGCAGAAGGAATGGCTGCAATACAGACCAACAAGAGCAAAAGCCCTGAGTTGGAAGCCTGCTTGACTTTGAAAGCTTTTACAAACCCAGCGTGGCAGGAGCATGGACAAGGGAGATAATGCAGAGAGGGAGGCTGCAGGCAGTTCACTTAGGAAGCTGTTAACTGGGACAGCTCTGGATGTTATTTGAAATGTGATGGCTTTGAGCAAGGGGAAGGTGTAAAAATAAACAGGAATATCGCTATGAAAGCAACACTGAGCTTTCAAAACCAACTTGGGAGGTCCTTCAGGGAGCAGGACCTACGCACTGTGAACTGTGGTCCCCACCTGGAACAACCGGATAATGACACTGTGTCCGGAGACTCCAGATGCTTGTCACAAGGTGACCGGACCCTGGATGTATGGACAGTTTCCAGTAGGCAAATACATTCTTTATCTTCTGGTCATGCGAGCCCGGTCTTTCTCAAAAAGATTCCCACCAAAGGATTTTTACCACTTAGTGATAAATCAATACTGCTTGACAGGATCAGCTCCCACTTGCCTGCCTTCCTCGCAACGCTCGTTCCCAGCTATCTGAGTCTGTATCTCCCGACTTGAAATTCCTGAGACCTCTTCCCCTTTACAATTTTACAATTTCTGAGCTTGAGTTGATCAATAAAGGATATGATCCTTTTCACATTTTAAAAGATCATTCTCGGGGCAGCCGCTGTGACTAGTAGGCTAAGCCTCCGCCTGTGACGCCAAGCATCCCATATGGGCGCCGGTTTGTGTCCAGGCTGCTCCTCTTCCGATCCAGCTCTCTGCTTATGGGCTGGGAAAGCAGTAGAAGATGGCCCAAGTGCTTGAGCTCCTGCACTCGCGTGGGAGATCTGGAAGAAGCTCCTGGCTTCGGATCAGCGCAGCTCCGGCCATCGTGGCCTTTTTGGGAGTGAGCAAGGGATGGAAGAAGTTTCTCTCTGCCTCTCCCTCTCTCTGTCTATAACTCTACTTCTCAAAAAAATATAATCTTAAAAATAAATAAATAAAAGATCATTCTGGCTGCTGGTTGGAGTACAGACTGGGCAGGGGTGGGTAGGGCTGGGGACAGAACACTAGCAAAGGCAGGACTGGTTAGGAGACTTGCTACACACCTTGCAGCCAGGTCTGTACAGACTGCATCCACTTCAGGCCCTCTTAGTTCCGGCTACAGTAACCTACCTTGCGGCTGTATCATAATGTACGTACTCAGTTCCCTGCTGGTGGACATTCAGGCTGTTCTCAACCCTTTTCCTTTTACAAACAACTAAGTAGTGCATCTCCTTTGTGCTCAGGTCCCACCTCCTATGCAGGATGATTCCAAGAAGTCTAACTGCTGATCATATATCAAACCACTTCCCAAACTGAAATTAAATTTGGTGATCTAATTCTCGCCCAGAGAAACAGGTTTATTCACTCTCTGCCACATCAGCCTTTCAGAGATTGGGAGGGGGAGGAAACTTTAAATTAAAGGAGACTTTAATGACTCCCAGTCGAACAAGCCACCACCTGAAGCTGTCTCTTCCTCAAACAGTCCCCATCGCGGGCTCTAGAGAGATAAACCGAGGCACGGGCAGCCTCCGAGTCTGCGCTCTGGTCCCGCCATCCCCGCCCCCTCTCCACCCACCTGCCGGCCCGCAGACCCGACCCGCACACCTCACCGCTTAGGACCGCGATTCCCACTTCCGCCCACCCTGCGGCCGCGGAAGCAGACGCCGATCTCCCTTGTCCCATCCGAGCCGCCGTAGCGCTGGCGCCGCGGGAGCTCGGCAGCTCCGGTCGCCAAGGCAACGGCTCCGCGGCTGGCGGCGGGTGCCGGGCGGCCCCGGGGAGGCGCTGCAGGCCGGCGGCCCCGGCGCGGCGAGGTGGCGAGAGGCAGGTGAGCAGGGGCTGAGCGGGCGCAGGGGACGAGGGGCTGGGGCCGCGGGCTGCACCTTCGTCCCCGGGGCCTCGGCCGCGCCGCGGGTGGCGCCCCCGATACCCTTTGACCCCGCCCTACGTTTGGTGGGAGTGCGTTTTGGATCGTTTTACTGTGTGTGTGGACGTTGGCCTCATTCGAAAGTCTCCTAAAAAGAGACGAGAGCGTTCTAACGGGGAGGGGGGTGGTGGTGGTCGTGGAGTCACCCGAAACTGCCGCAAATGTACGTGTGGGTGCGACCCCGCGGGGACCCGAGAGGACCGGCTGCTTCGCGCGCCGCCTTGCGCCCCTGCAGCGTGGGGTTAGCGGCCGCACCTGCTCGGTGCATACTTGAGCCCTTGTAGGTGAGCTCTCAGCACCGGGCGGCTTTTTTTTTTTTTTTTTTTCCTCTGCTGCCACGAGGAACTTCGTTGCGCGTTTGTCGTGAGCCAGGGTCCTGGCTGCTGGCCACGGGTAGAAAGTGAGTGAATGAGAAGTGCGTGTCCGCAGGGCCGTGCGGGGGAGACCCTGTGGTCTGCGTGGGGCTCTGGGCGGGCGGGGGACAGTCATGCACAGAGCGGTCACCCGCATTGCCAGAGATCCCAACAGAAGGTGCTGGCCGGGGAGAGGTGCCCGGGGTGGCGGTGGCGGTGGCGGGGTATGGCCGCAGCCCCTCGCAGGACGCGCGGGCTTCCTGGGCAGCTGTAGCATTCAAGGCTTTGCTGTAGGGCGGACTCTGCGGGCTGGAAGTGGCCTGGCCGGCCGACGTTTGAGAGTCCAGCAGATGGCCTTCCCGAAAGCGTGCGTGTTGAAGTTTTGAGGAGTTGGGACGTGATCCTGGAGGCAGAGGGAGGTGTGTTGCGTGTGCGTTTGATTTGTATTTGTGGTGTCAGAAAAGACTGGCTTTGTTGTTCTTGATCTCATCGCTCTTCCCATCTGTTTTGCACTTAAAAGCGTTCACTTACGGCAGGGATGGGGAACACACTGCTTTTTTTTACCAAGGGCCACTTGAGTATAACATTCGCTGGCCACGTTTGGGGGCCACGCTAAATTGTCAGCTTAAGAATCAGCCTGCTGTATAGATGTATGGGATTTCGAGTCTCTCCTGTGGTTGCCTTGAAAGGCCAGACCAAATGAATTCGTGGGCCGTATATAGCCTGTGGGCTGGGCATTCGGCTTCCCTGATGGACGGTGATGCCCCTACCACCACCACCACAATTGAGCATCTTCTATGTGCCAGGCCCTGTGATGATGGAGGTAGTGAGGGAAGAGTCCCCAGCCATCGTAGGAAAGAATGCACCCAGCGTGATGACAGTGTGATAGGATTTGTGAAAGAAGGCGCACGGCAAGGCTGACCCCAGCCAGTTTGGGGCTTCAGCCAGGGTCTTGATAAAACTCCAGAGGGAGCAGTATGCGTTAGCTGCTTTTGGTGGGGAGCTGGGGCCGGAGGTGTCACGTGCCAGATGTTCAGACGTGCATTCGCGGAGGTGGAAGCAGCCCACTGCAGCTGGAACTTAAAGATGAACACAGTCAGGCATCCAGACAGGCAGCTTATGAAAAGTCCAGACCGCTCAGGACCACTGCACTGGATGGTCTTGGAAGAAGTCACTGAGGCCACACCAGGAAGAGGAGGCCAGAGATCTAGGAGGGAAGCCGGCAGGGCACAGCGGCGAAGGCCAGAGGAGCTCCATTGAGGAGGGTGAGCGTGTCGCTTGGATAAATAATGGTCGGGGCCGCTTGGGACTGCGTTGGACAGATTTCTTGAAATGGTGGGGGCGGAATCTCTAATCCCGGCCGCTTCCGAAGGTTCAGTGTAAATGCCTCAGCGGGCTGAGTTAGGAGTGGGATGTGAGAAAGGTGCCGTGTAGGCAGCTCAGAGAAGTTCGGCTGTGTGTGGCGGGGGGAGGGCTGGAGAGCTATTGGGGAATAGGTGAGGCTGCATTGAAGCGAGAGAGAGATTAAAGATGCTGGCAAAGAGCCAGTAGAGGGGACGGAGAGACACAGGAGAGAGCGTTCCCGAGCAGGCGCGAGTGGAGAAGCTCCCGGATCTGCTGCCTTCTAGATTGCGGAAAGGCGGGATGCAAGGCGGTCGCTGAAAGCAGGCATACCGACGTGAGCTCGGACACCCATCAAGGAGAGATTAAGCCTGTGCTGTCACGTTTCCATTATCGCCAGATAGCAGGCGTCTGTGGAGCTAGTGTGGTGCCAAGCACATTTTGTACACTAATCTCAATGAATAATATGCTATTTATAGCAACCCTGCGAGGTGGGTTCTGCCATGAGTCCCCACTCTGTGGACGAGGAAGCCGACGAAAAAGGCCCAGCCTAGATGACAAGATGACAGAGTGTTTGGATCCTGGTCTGCCTAGAGCTCTTTTTTTTTTTTTTTTTTTTTTTTAAGATTTATTTATTTATTTGAAAGAGTTACAGAGAGAAAGGGAGACACAGAGAGACAGACAGACAGACAGACACTGAGAGATTTTCCATCCGATGGTTCACTCCCCAGCTGGCTACAAAGCTGGGTCTGGGCCAGGCCAAAGCCAGAAGCCAAGAGCTTCTTCCAGGTCTCTGACACAGGTGGCAGGGGCCCAAGGACTTGGGCATCTTCCACTGTTTTTCACAAGCCATTAGCAGGGAGCTGGATTGGAAGTGGAGCAGCTGGGACAGAAACCAGCGCCCATACGGGATGTGGGAGGCAGCTTTACCCCCATGCCGCAATGATGGCACCCCACTGCCCACCTCCCACCTGCCCCAAGCCAGCTCTCACACTATGTGGCCAGGCTGGGCACATCTATTTTTGTTTCTAAGTATTTATTTTTTTCCCAAGTGTTTTTTTTTCTTTCTTTCTTTTTCTTTTTTTTTGACAGGCAGAGTGGACAGTGAGAGAGAGAGAGTCAGAGAGAAAGGTCTTCCTTTTGCCATTGGTTCACCCTCCAGTGGCCGCTGCAGCCAGCACACTGCAGCCGGTGCACTGCACTGATCCGAAGGCAGGAGCCAGGTGCCCCTCCTGGTCTCCCATGGGGTGCAGGGCCCAAGCACTTGGGCCATCCTCCACTGCACTCCTGGGCCACAGCAGAGAGCTGGCCTGGAAGAGGGGCAACCGGGACAGAATCCGGTGCCCCGACCGGGACTAGAACCCGGTGTGCTGGCGCCGTAGTTGGAGGATTAGCCTATTAAGCCACGGCGCCAGCCTGGTTTTGTTTTTAAAGTAGTCTCTCATCTGTATGCCATGTTTTTAAAATTTTTTTAATTCATTTTCCTTCTGTTTGAAAAGGAGAGAGAGAGAGAGAGAGAGAGAGAGAGAGATCAATCTTCCATGTGCTGGTTCACAGTCTAAATGCCTGAAACAGCCAGGGCTGGGCAAGGCAAAAGCCAGAAGCCCAGAACTCACTCTGGGTCCCCCACATGGGTGGCAGGGACCCAGGACTTGAGCCGTCGCTTGCTGCCTGCCTGGGTTCACTTTAGCAGGAAGCTGGATCAGAAGCAGGGGAGCCAGGACTTGAACCAGGCACTCCCGTATCAGACATAAGGGCCCTCAGCAGCAGCTTTGCTTGCTGTGCCCAGCACCTGCCCCTGCTTGTTTCAAGTGTGTACATACGTTTCTGTATGGAAAATGTGTCTAAGTAGTATTTATTTAATATTTTTAAATTGGTAAAGTATAAAAGAACTTCAAAAGTTTGTGGAAAATTGGGACTAAAAGATGTTTTGGTGCAAGCATGTTAATCCTTGCATTTGAAACGTCTTCCAAAAGCTCATGGTAGATGTGTATTATGAAAAAATTATACAAAAAATTTATCATCTCCACTATTTGTAAGTATGCAGTTCTGTAGTCTGCTCACATTGCTATGCAACAGGCTCCGGAACTTTTTCATCTTGAGAGATTTTGAACTCTGTTTAACAAACAAATTCCCACTTCCCTACCCCTCCAGAGCCTGGCAGCCACCTTCCACTTTCTCTTGCTCTGAGCCCAAGTATTTTAGACCCCTCGCGAAAGCGGAATTGTGCAGTGTTTGTCTCCTGTGGCTGCTGATGTCACTGAGAACAGTGTCCTCGAGGGTGAATACTATTCCATTTCGTGTTTGTGGCACCTTTTGTGAATCCCTTCATTGTTGACAGGCATTTGGGTTGCTTCCGTCTTCTGGCCACTGTGAATAACGCTACCGTGAAACCTGAGTGTGCCAGAAAGGCGAGCTCTTTATGTGTGTACTGTGAGATCGTGGGGAAATGTTTGTTCCTTTACCCATTGCCTTATTTTTTATGGGCATGGATTTCTTTTCTATGTGTGTGTGAACATACATAGCTTGCATAATCAGAAAAAGCAATCAGAATGTATCTTGTTTAGGGGGCCGGGGAGCGAAGGTGAGAAAAGGCAGTGGCCGCAGGAGTGGAACAGAGGGCAGATCTGAGAGACCTGAGATTCAGAAACAACTGGACTGGCACTCGGGGTAAGGGGTGGAGATGAGGCCTGGAGCAGGGAGGGGCGTCCCCTGGCAGGACTGGGACAGCACTGGAGAGCCCTCTGCATCTTTGCTCCGCAGTGAGTTTTCCCAGGAGGTAGAAAGAAGCCATTGAAAGGAAATAACTTAATCATATTTGCATATGGAAAGATTACGCAGGTTCCCTCCAACCCGTTCTACAAGCTGAAGCTAGACAGCACCCAGTGCCTCCATGGGTTACTTAGACGTGAACCTCTGCTAATTCCCTTTGGAGATGAAACCCTGTTGCTGAAAGATGCGTATCGACTCTTCTAACGCACCTAGAATATTTTGAGCATCTTAATTTAGATTACAGCAATGCCCATTGTGTTCAGTATCATCTCAACAAGAGACTCCTGTAAATTTACTTTCTACCTTTAGGAGGGGGAGTATGAATAATTGGGAAAATAAACAAATATAAACAACACAACCTCGAGGACTTCAATTTATTGAATGGACCTTTGATACTTTCCTTTTGAGAGAAAGGAACTGATATAAAATACAATG